CTTTGCAAAAAGGCAACCAGGACAGGAGGCAAATGGGGCCTGACACCCAGGGCTTCTGATTCATCACCTTCCCACTCAGCCTCCCCCAGAAAACAGGCAGTATCCGTTCTGTCCAGATCCTTTTCAGGTACTTAGAGCTACATTCAACCTCTTGGGGCCCCTGGTTTTATTCTGGGCTCTTGGCTGTGATACGAATGGTTGAGGCTGCAGGAATCATGACCTCTTGGTCATTGTTTTTTGTTTTTATTATTGTTATCGTAGGAAAAAGGAAGTGACATTTACTGAATGCCAGATGCTTTATATAGCTCATCTCACTCAGTTCTCACAGTAATCTGTGCTAGGAGGAGACATCATTGCACCCATATTGCAAGTGAGGAAACTGAGGTGTGGCAGGGGCCAACTCATGAGTGGCAGCAGTTGGATTGGGATCCAGGGCTCCCCAGCTTTTGAAGCAGTTTTCTTAGCTATATCGCAATTGCATTTTCCACTTCTGAGTTGTCCTTAACACTCAGGAGAAACCCTACTACCTGCAGGGGGCTGGGGAGTGTGGTCTGGAAGCCTCAGGGAGGGCCAGGCAGGAACTGGCTGTGGGCTGTTGGACTGGTTCCTGCCCATCTGAGGCTTGATATTTCAAAGATTAGGTCAGGGACCAGGGTCTCGAGTTCACCTTCAGGAGGTTCCCCAGAGATCCCTGACCCCAGGCCATGGATGTTACAAGTAAAGACTCATCTGAGAGAGACGTAGGGACTTACCTGAGGTACCTTGGCTAGTGCTAGGCTGAGCTGGCCTCTGACACTTCCCAAAGTCAGGTGAATGGCTGTGATTATAGCTTAGGGCCATCTCTGTAGGCTGCGTGGGCATACGTTCCTTCTTATTCAGAAACTTCTGTGCCACATGATATATTCACACAAGGGCTTTTAGACAAAGGGACAAGCTGGCCAGAGCCATGGACAGTGGAGCCTGAGTGGTGTCCACCTGGAGCTGGGTGGTTAGGGTGATGTTTGACACTATGTGATGTTGGTGCTGAGAAAATAGCCTTGGCCTGGCTGGCTGTGTGACAACAGAACCACAAAGTCCCTTCTCAGTAAAGCAGAGATGGGTGTTTTGCCCTCCTGGCCTAGCAAGATTTTTGAGGGACCAATGTATTTCAAAGTATCTGAGACTGTGCAGATTAAGGTTCTTGGGTCATCAGCCCATGCCTAGGAGAATGCTGCCTGCTCACAGATGTGTGCTAAAGGGAGAACAGCAGTAGAGGCCTGGACCTGGCTTCTGGCCCTGATAGAACTTGGTGTTTCTCTCTCTGGACATTGGTCTTCCCATCTGCAGGACACTGAGCTCTAAGGGCCCCTTTGTTCTGTTTCTAGGTACAGCTTGGTGGCTCAACAGCCTCTTGATGGTGGGCAGAGTTGAGAATTCGTACCATTGGATGGCCCCCTATGCCTAAGTCACCCTTTAATCTTTGGTCTGGGATGCTGATTGTTGGCTTCCAGATACTGAGGAGAAAGATAGCAGATCGGCTGGGCTAGGCCTCTTCTTGTCTGTGTCCATGCCCTGGTTTATACTCTGTGCTTCTTAGATTCAAAGTCCAGGCAAGCTCCTAGAGGGTTCCCCAGTGCAGGATGCCTTGCAGGGACCTGTTTTAGGTGGGTGTAGGCCTCCTGACTCCTTTGTTCAGCTTAGTGCTGTGTCCCTCAGCTGTGCCCAGGGCTCTCTAGCCCCCAAGAGAGCTGTGGAAAGGACAACCTTCTGACTAGACTAGATGGGTAATTTGGTCCTAGGCAAAGGGCTGTCATGGCTGTGACTCAGAAACCCAGAGCTCGGAAGCCCCCTCCCCAGCTTCAGCCTCTGCTCCAAGTACTCTGTGCTCTGGAAGCCCAGGGTTCCCTGAGAAGCCACAAGGGCTGGTGGAGGGAGTCAAAGATGGGGCAGGTCCATTGGCTACCCACAGTTGGAGCAGACTAATTCCACATATGAGGTTTCCTTTAGAGAAGGGCTCTGAGTCTAAAACAATGTTGGAAGTCGCTTATTCCAGATTCCTGGGTCTGCCACAGTAAAGGGACATAGAGTGGGTGGCTTGACAGACACTTCTCACAGCTCTTGAGGCTGGACGGCCAAGATCAAAGAACCAAGGACGCTCTCCTGGATTTAGAGATGGCCACCTTGCTGTGTCCTCACATGGCCTTTCCTTTGTATTTGCACATCCCTGGTGTATCTTCATGTGCCCAAATTTCTCCCACTTATAAGGACACCAGTCTGGTTAGATTAGAACCCTCCCTAACAGCCCCATTGTAACCTAATCACCCCTTTAAAGTTTCTGTCTTTAGTTACACAGTCTGAGGTACTGGGGATAAAGACATTAACATATGAAGTGAGAGGCATAATCCAGCTCAAACACCTCTCATCTTGCCCAAGACCCTCCTGTTCCAGAGGGGAAACTGAGGCCCAAGGAACGGGATTTTGCCACCCCACAGCAGGGTGAGGCTCCTGTTGGGTTTTAGGCCAGCCCTGAGTGATCCAACTCTCTGTGGGTAGAGCAGAGCAGAGGCTGTGAGTGCTTCTCTGCCCAAGGACTCACAGTTAGCCCCAAGGGACCGCCCCTGGGGGAGATCTGGGGATCTCATTTTGCCAAAGTTGTAAATCTCTTAAGCCATAAGCTGCTCCTTGGCATCTCCCAAGTGCTCTAATGTGAAATACAGATGGTCATCCCTTTTAAGATCCAAGCACACTTTTAAATTTCCCATCGTGTTTGCACCTAAGGATGCAATTACCATTTCCTCTCATTGTCCTGTCTGCTTGTCCCTCTGCTCACGGCTGACGCAGGCTCCCAAGCCCATGGGGTGAACACGCGGCTATGAGCTTAAGAAGATCGGGCTGCTTCTGAAATCTTTGGGTGGCTCATGGCCAGCGATGCTTATCGGTCCACTCAAGACTGCTTTGAGGTTATTTTCTTCTCATCAGAAGATGCTTATATATGCTGTGAAGAACATTTCCATCAATTCTTCTGCCTGAGCAAGTGCCAGCCAAGTGCTGTACTCTGCCATGAGTCACCCCCACTGGCTCCTTCCCAGGCTTGCTCGGCTGTCTCTGGCAATGAATTCTGCAGGCTTCCCAGGGGACCCTAAGCCTTTGTGGCTCTCTGCAGGCTTCAGAGATGGTACTTCCACCTCATCTCACGTGGACTGTTAACCTTCCCTGTTTGTTTTTAAAAACCACAGGAAAGCATTTTCCTTACAAGTATTATGGGGCTTGAATTTCTAAACTTGTCTGGGAAGGATACAAGGCCAGGGTGAGTGCATGGCTTTGTGAGTTTACAGCAGCTCTTTGATTTAATGCATAAATCCAGACCAGGTTCCTCTTCCCTTGCACCAAAAGGAAATGTGAGTGTTCTGATTGCTAAACCCTTCCTAACCCTGGCTGCGGTACAGTACGCACTTCAGGGGTGGATGAAGGAAGTGGACCAGGCCCTGGACACGGTGCTAGGTGAGTGGCAGCCCACAGGGCAAGGTTAACCCAGACCCCAGCAGCCACTTCTCTGAGCTGCTTTCCACATGTATAACACAAAGATAGTAATTCCCACTTCCCTGGGCCTGGAGAGTTGAAATTGTTTGCTGTGCCCAGTTAGTAGGTAGTGTTTACCTTTACTGCTTGCTGGTTATATGGTCCTGCGCTCAAGAACGCTTAGTGTCCTGGTGGGATTGACTTTGGGGTAGCTGACAGGAGCAGTGTCCTCATGGGGGACTTTCTATCTTAGGAGGGCTTTCAGGCTCAAAGAGGCCTTGTTTGTCCTAGTGTTCATCTCCCCACCCGTCCCAGGCGATAGGGTCCCCACTGAGACTCTGAATTGTTCTATCCTTAGCACTGCTCAGCCCTAAAGCCCATTCTTTGAATTTGAGGAATTTCGTTTTGTAAAGAGGCTTTTCATCTTGTGCCATTTGAGGTCCCCATTCCGAGGGTGGTGACTCAGTGGTAGCATAGATGGGGAGGAGGGGTGGGCCAGGCTTGGAAGCTGGTGGCTGGGAACTCTTACCAGCCCTGAATGCCTTTGGGCAGACAGTCGCTTCTGTGAGCCTCAGTTTCTTCCCAGATCTTAGGGTCTGATGCATGTATCACACATGGAGCAGACACTGTGCTGTGGGGTGGGCATTGGCTGCGTTTTAGAAGACAAGGATGCTGTATTAGTCCATTTTCTGTTGCCAGTAACATCAGACTGCAGACTGGGTAAGTTGTAACAAAAACAGTTTATTTTGACACATGGTGCTGGAGGTCCAAAGTTGAAGTCCCACATGTGGTGATGGCCTTCTTGCCGGCAGGGTCCTGAGGAGATGCAGGATATCACGTGGCAAGACCCTGGGAGCACATGCATGACTCTTCTGGTCTCGATCTCTTTTTATAGAGCTACCACGACTCAATCATGGGTCCACCCTGATGATTGTACCTAACCCCAGTCACCTCCTGAAGGCCCCTTCTCTCAATATGATTGTCAGATTTTTACCACTTCATAGACATCTTACCACTTCACAAAGGGGATTATATTTCAACGCTTGAACCCTTTCAAGATATGGACCAACCATAGCAGACATTAAAGTGCGTTCCTTCCATTCAGAAGACCAGTGGACTGAGGCCCAGAGATGGGAGAGGATGGACCTGCCTTCACCATTATTAGCAGCAGGTGGGAAGTGAGTTCAGGACACTGGATTTTTAGCCCAAGGACCTTTCAGTTGCACTACACTTCACTCCACTCACTCTATGTGTTGTGGCCAGAGGCCAGGGAGGCCAGAGTGAAGGCCATTGTCCAGAAAATGCAGTGCTTTTGACTTGAGCAGGCCAGGGCTCCAGCCCCTATTCCTTTGGGTGTAGGAGCTTCCTCCTCAGAGAGCATAGAACACTGAAGAATCAGATTCCTACCAAATAGGGAATCTTGAGAGAAGCCCTTGGTCATTGGCAAGGTTTGCCCGGGTGGCTAAGGTCATTCTAATGTTATTTCTTTTTGTGTTTTCCAGTGTCCGCCAAGACTTTGACGTCCCCACCAGTCACCTGATTGGAGCACATGGATACTGCACGCAGGTTGGGATGCTATGGGGCAGCCAGGCAGTTCTTCTTTTCCTCTGTCCTTCTTCTCCCTGTCCTCCAGCAGCCTCTCTAGGCATCTTCCCATGTCCACCCTGCTGGTTGTCACCATTAAGGAGCTAAAAAGATGGCTCAGTTTATCCTCTGTTTCTGAAACACTTGCCATATGCTGATCTCTGTGCTTGGAGCCATATGGGATGCAGGTGGAGAGTAGGTGGAATGCAGATCCAAGCTGTGTACCACCTGGAGCTCTGGCTGCAGAGGGTGCAGTAGCATCTGGGGATAGTTGGGAATATCAGCCACGGCGATCTTTATGTTGGCATGGAGCATTGTCTTTATAACCACTGTTCCCGCTGCATCTTTACAAAGGGACCCCCTCCCCACAGTCAAGACCTCAGCAGACCCTGAGCATGGTTGCTTGTCAGCCATCATTGAGACCTGGGGGGAAATCCCAGCCTTGACTTCTTTCCAGTTGTTTTTTGGCATGGCAAGGCCTCCCAGAGCAGCCAGGTGGGCCACAGTAAAATCTGACCTTTGGCACAGACAGGCACCCAAACTCAGTCTTCTGGACCTTAAAGACCCAGTTGTCCTAGGGTCTTGGCTCACATGTGCCCAGCCCAGTCCTATGTAAGAAGCAAGCTACAGACCTGTGTCTTGTGGAACACCCACAAAGGAATGAGGCCTGGGTTGCTGCTCACTTTCCTAAGAGAAGGAGTTGAGTGAGCCACTACTCTTCTTGTTGCCTGGGGTTGCCATCCTGTCTCTGAGAACCTCTCTGCCCCAGGGAAGCTTCTTCTTGTAGAGGTCAGGGCGTGATGTTTGCAGGGATGGGTGACCATCAAGTGAGGGGAAGAAGACATCAGGTCAGAGAGTAGGACTGGATTTAAGTCTTGTTCTCTGTTGCACTTGGAGAAGGAGCTGGGCCATCTTCTTTCCCTCCCTGGGTTTCCTTTTCCTCATTAGTAGAAGAAGGATTTGTACTGGACCAGGGCTGCTTATGCTTTGCTGTGTTGTGCACATAATTCCATGTGAGTAGGTTCAGATTCAAGGGGTCTGGGCTACAGCCTGAGATGCTGAATTTCTAACAGGCCATCCTAGGAGGAAAATGTTGTTGGTCCAAGGACCACACATTGAGTAGCAAGACCCTAAATGATGGCTAAGTTTCCTGATGTGTAATTTTGCATCTAAGAATAAGAGATGCCTGGTGCCTCTTTTCCCCATCTCAAGAAGGCTTCCTGCTAGGAGGAAGGTTTTAGATGCATCCAAATGGAGGAAAAGGGCTTATTTAAATTTCAAAAACCAAATGGAAAACTCAAGCCCCCCCCACCCCGAAAAGGCTGTATCCTTTTTAGTGCCACTGCCCCTGGGGTGCCCTATTTTAGAGTAGCTATTTCCTCCGAACTCTTTCTCTCATTTTTTCTGCAAGGACACAGTGACCCCCTCAGTATCTCCCTCCAATGGGGGCCCTTTGGCGGCCATCACCGGAGGCCTCTTTTATTGTCACTGGGGCAGGGGTATTGGTGTTAACAGGAGAATTTATTGACCCTGGACATTGTTTTCACAATTCAAAGGAAGACACTTCCATCAACTCTGCCCTCCAAGCATATGCCAGGGAAAGGGCGGCTTTGGCCATTCCCATGGGCTGGCTTCATGGGCAGTGCCAGTCTCTGGAGAGGTGGGTGACACAGAGGAACCTGCTGTCTGAGTGCTAGGGCTAGGCTCACAGGAAACCTACCCCAGTGGAGCAGCAGACCTTCAGAGGCCACCATGTTTCATCTTGCATCTGTGTCCAGCCAGTTGCCACCGTGAATGTAAGACGGAAATGGGAATTAGGAAGGAAACCCAGAAAGATGCTTGGAGCCAGAAGATGTGAGTGGAGCCTCAGCGGTGGCCCTCAGTGGCTGTGTGGCCAGGGAAGTCCTTTCTTATCTGCAGGCTCAATTTCTCCGGTCCTAACAGAAGGCTGGATCAGGGATTCCCAGCATAAGGAAGGGCCCTTCCTGACACAGATGTCCGTCTCATACAAGTGTTACAGGTGAAGAAGCTGCCAGAGAAGAGCTGAGCTCCATGGAGCACCAGCTGCAGGTGGCAAGGTCACTTTCTTGTTGCATTGCCAGGAGTGTGCCATGAGGCGTGGGGTCCCAAATGTCTACTTCCCATGGCAAGAAGAAATGGGCTTCCTGTCCCCTCTCTGCTCTGCTCTTCCTTCTTCCCCCACAGTACATTTTTCTGGGCTTCCTCCTCCATTAAAGCCTGCCGTTGTCCCCAGGAGATCTGAGAAAGTCCTGGGGTGCGGCTGGTGCTGAGTGTGGTCATTTCCTGGTTGTGAGCATGTGCTCTGGTCCTGTGAGATGTTATTTTTGGGGGAAGCTGGGTGAAGGGTGCACAGGAACTCTCTGTACTATTTTTACAACTTCTATTGAGTATAAAGTTATTTCACAATTGAAAGCTACTTTTAAAAGACCACCCTTTAAGACTCAAAACTTCACAAAGCCACTGTCTCCTAGTCATGTATGGCTTTGCATCCCTCTAGGCCCTGGAATGGCCTGTGTGGACATTTTTATAGTTCCAAACACATGCTATAGTGTGCTTCAGCCTCATAGCCAAATACCTGACCCCTCTACCCTGGACCTGAGCAGGGAGCCACGTGTCACTTCTAAGGACCGGGGACCTAGGACAGGGTCCTGTATACAGTTGCTTCTCCGTGAATGCTTGTGAAATAAAGACCAGTGAGTGCCTGCAATTGCTTTGATGAGAGAGGCTGGCAACTTTCCCTTGAGGCTTGTGGGAAAGTGGAGTTTGACTACCTCTGGCATCTGCCTCCCCCATCCTTCCCTTCTTCCGTCCCTGCCCTTTTCTCTCTTCCCAGTGTCCCCTCCACCCTTTTGCAGCTGGTTCAAACTTGCCATGCGTGGCTTCCCCTTCTCTCATCAACAGGAACTTGTCAATCTTCTGCTGACTGGGAGAGCTGTATCCAATGTTTTCAACGACGTGATGGAGCTGGATTCTGGGGATGGAAACATCACACTCCTCCGAGGCATTGCTGCCCGTAGTGACATTGGATTCTTATCTCTCTTTGAGCACTACAATGTGTGCCAGGTACCCATAGTGTCAGTCTCCAGACCCCGAGGAGCCTGGCTCCCTGAGGGACCTCTGGAGGAAGAAAGGCTGGATTCCATTTCCCAGAGCTGGCTGGAGCTCAGGTTCAGCCCAAACCATGGGGAGAAGGGTGGCTTCCCTGCCCTTGAATACAGACTTATAATTCAGACCTGAAGCCTGTTAATGAGAAGATCCTGGGAGAAGATTGTTGAAAAAGGACTTCCAGGGATTCATGGTTTGATTGTGGGTCAGAGTGGCTGCATCTGGTGTATGTGTGAGGGGGGTGGTGGTTCGGGAGGGCCTTTTCTCCCAGAGCAGGGACTAGAGATTTTAGGTCAATGTAGTAGCTTAAAACAGATCCATTCTCTCATAATCCTGGAGGGTGGAAGTCTGAGATCTTGGAGTCAGCTGCAGCCACAGCTCCTCAGAAGCCCACAGAGAGAGAGTTCTTGATTTCTTCCAGCCTTTGGCATGTTCTGGTATCTTGGTGTTCCTTGGCTTGTACGTACATCACCCTAGTTCTGGCCTCTTTTGTCACATGTCATCTTCTCTCTGTGTGTCTCCTTGCTTTCTGAGGACCTGACTGAGGGAAGGGCTCACCCTCCTCCAGGATGACCTCAGCTTAGCTAATCACATCTGCAAAAACCTCATATCCCAATATGTTCCCATCAGAGGACTGAGAGATTACATGTTCTCCGTGGGAACACAATTCAATTCCTGATGAGACTGACTTAGTATGTTTAGGGGGATGGTCCCTCTGCCTCCTCCCTCGCTGCAGCTGAGGTATCAGAAAGGGCAGGGCCTCCAAGTAGAGCTGGGCAGGACATGGTAGCTCTGCCCCAGGGGAGTATGAGCAGGGGCTGAGGCAGGCTGGTTGGGGACACATGGACCCTGACTGCCTGTCCAAGCTGCCATAGAGCCTTCTCTGGGGTTCACTTTTGGTCCAGAGAGTCTGCTGTTCTGTGATTGATTATATGGAAAGCATTGTCCTGAGTGGCAGTGACAGCCTTTTCCATGGTGGCTGATCCTATACAAATTGCTACAAGGCTTTGATGAGGTTTCATTAACCTTGTATTCCAGAGCCAGGACAGACTCACCCTATGGGGCCCCTAGAGATCACTGGGTGAGTGGATTTGCAGGATGAAAAGAGAATGGCGTTTTCATCTCATCCTTCACACAGACCATATGTGCTTTCCCTTGCTTATGGACCATGGGGTGCAGCCCTATCCCCTCTCAGGGTGGTACCTCGTTTCACACAGAACAGGCGTGTGGGTTCCAAAGATGTAGGGAAAGTGAGGGCTGCTTTCTTCACCCCCATTGTTCTGGCATCAGGAGGGAACCCAAGAGTGTGGACACGTGGTCAGTGAGGAGTGCCAAGGCTCTTGACCATAAGGCTCTGGGTGGGCTCCAAACGGGAACCTGGGCAAGGCTTGTAGTCTCCCCAGGCTCACCATGAGCCCTGGCTTCATTCTTGTGTCCAGGGTGTTGGTCAAACATAACTAGGTGGTTCGGGAGGGCCTTTTCTCCCAGAGCAGGGACTAGAGATTTTAGGTCAATGTAGTAGCTTAAAACAGATCCATTCTCTCATAATCCTGGAGGGTGGAAGTCTGAGATCTTGGAGTCAGCTGCAGCCACAGCTCCTCAGAAGCCCACAGAGAGAGAGTTCTTGATTTCTTCCAGCCTTTGGCATGTTCTGGTATCTTGGTGTTCCTTGGCTTGTACGTACATCACCCTAGTTCTGGCCTCTTTTGTCACATGTCATCTTCTCTCTGTGTGTCTCCTTGCTTTCTGAGGACCTGACTGAGGGAAGGGCCCACCCTCCTCCAGGATGACCTCAGCTTAGCTAATCACATCTGCAAAAACCTCATATCCCAATATGTTCCCATCAGAGGACTGAGAGATTACATGTTCTCCGTGGGAACACAATTCAATTCCTGATGAGACTGACTTAGTATGTTTAGGGGGATGGTCCCTCTGCCTCCTCCCTCGCTGCAGCTGAGGTATCAGAAAGGGCAGGGCCTCCAAGTAGAGCTGGGCAGGACATGGTAGCTCTGCCCCAAGGGGAGTATGAGCAGGGGCTGAGGCAGGCTGGTTGGGGACACATGGACCCTGACTGCCTGTCCAAGCTGCCATAGAGCCTTCTCTGGGGTTCACTTTTGGTCCAGAGAGTCTGCTGTTCTGTGATTGATTATATGGAAAGCATTGTCCTGAGTGGCAGTGACAGCCTTTTCCATGGTGGCTGATCCTATACAAATTGCTACAAGGCTTTGATGAGGTTTCATTAACCTTGTATTCCAGAGCCAGGACAGACTCACCCTATGGGGCCCCTAGAGATTACTGGGTGAGTGGATTTGCAGGATGAAAAGAGAATGGCTTTTTCATCTCATCCTTCACACAGACCATATGTGCTTTCCCTTGCTTATGGACCATGGGGTGCAGCCCTATCCCCTCTCAGGGTGGTACCTCGTTTCACACAGAACAGGCGTGTGGGTTCCAAAGATGTAGGGAAAGTGAGGGCTGCTTTCTTCACCCCCATTGTTCTGGCATCAGGAGGGAACCCAAGAGTGTGGACACGTGGTCAGTGAGGAGTGCCAAGGCTCTTGACCATAAGGCTCTGGGTGGGCTCCAAACGGGAACCTGGGCAAGGCTTGTAGTCTCCCCAGGCTCACCATGAGCCCTGGCTTCATTCTTGTGTCCAGGGTGTTGGTCAAACATAACTGTTTTCCTTTGGTCAGTGAAGGGTAATTGATGTGAAGATCAGTGGAGGTCCTCCTTCCAATGGATTAAATGACTGCCGAAGAATTTGAGATCCCACAGCTGTCTTCCCCTTGTGGCATCCTTGGATCCCCATAGCCATAGCCCCCTTTGCTGGCCTAGGCTCAGCTATGGCCTGGGCTTGGTTGTCTCCCTGCAGTAAGAGGATGCTGTCCTCTGCCTCACAGCCCATGCTTGCTAAGGAAGGAGCTCTGGCTGCTACCTTCCTTCTCACAAGCCCACTGAAGCCTGGGCCTTGGCCTCTCTTTCCCCTGAAGACTAAGGAAGGGCCTGGAAACCCAGAAAAGTACTCCCCTTCTTTAACATTACCTGCTGTCCCTGAGTACCTAGGACTCCTCATGGTTAGACACATTGGATCTAGGAACTCTAGGCAGGTTCAGCACCCAACCCAGACGTGGACTCAGATGGGGACTCATCCATGCTGTGTCTGGCGTGTCATACTCCATTGAGGAATGATCTTGCATTTGCAGCAGCTTGGATCTTGATGCCACTACATACATAGGCGAGGCCCCAGGCTTGCCTCTTGCTCACAGGCCTCTTGCCTGTCTCCAGGCTTCTCGCTGCAGTCTTTGGCTGGAAGCCAGTCTCAAGCCCTCAGTGAGTGTGTTGGGGAACCAGGGATGGGATGTCCTATCTACAGATGAGCTTCTCAGATGACCTACACTCAGGATGTGCCTGGGGCAAACAGGAAACTCTGGACCAGAGAAACGTGATCCTTGCTGTACAAGACTGGCCTCCTGCCTCAGCCTGGCTGTGTCCTGTGCACATGTGACCGCACCCCTGGGCTAGTTTTAGTCTTGCCCAAGTAACTTCTACCTCCTTTCCTGCACTCTGGAGTTCACTCAAGGTGAGGCTCCACAGTGAGAGTCAGAGTGTACTGCAGACCACAGCTGAAAGGCCAAGTCCCCAGGCTGTGCTGGTGAGGGTGCGGAGAGACCAGGAAAGGACAGGGTGCTTCAGGTCCCCAGAGCTTCTCCTATCATCTGCAAGCCATGTTTACTGCTGCCTTCCTGAAGGAGCCCAAAGGAAAACCGAGCTTGACAGAGGTCTCCGGAAAGCCCATCCTCCTTTGGTCATCTCCAGCCCAGCAAAGGTTACCATCCATCCATTTACTCAAACGAGTGCTTTTCTAGTCCTCTGAGAACGGTATTGGCTGAACTGTGTTCCCTCCAAGTTCCTATGTGAGGTCCAAGGCCCCAGGACTTACAGATGTGACTATATTTGGAGATAAGGTATTTGGGGGGTGAATAAGTTAGAATGGGGTCACTGAGATAGCCCTAATCCAAATGACCTGAATCTTCATGTGAAGGGAGATTAGGACACAGGTACCCTTGGAGGAAGACCATGTGACAGCATGGCGGAGGACGGCATCCACAAGCTGAGGAGGAGGCAAGGAGTAGCCAGAATGGCACCCTGATCACATGTTTCTGGGCTCCACCATTGGGAGATAATCATTAATGCTGTTTAAGCCTCCCCATCTGTGGTATTTATTTGGTACCCTAAGCAAACTGACACAAACGATAAAATCCCAAACTCCCTGAGCTCCACAAAGCTTTCCCAGACTTGTCCCATTCTTCCCCTCTCACCTTACTCCCCCCACTGTCCCTTAGGGACTAGGCTTCAGATGCTTATTTCCTCTTGGGTTCTCCCCACCTCTGGGCCTTTGCACATGATCTGCCTGCCATGGGCCCTGCCTTTCCTGCCTTCATCGTCACTCTAACAGGGCCTTCTTCTTGTGGTCCCCTCCTCACCTTGTTAGTCTCCACCCAAATTTTCTTTCTTTCATCTGCTGCTTCTTTTTTTTTTGGGGTACCGGGGATTGAACTCTGTTGCTTGCGCTTGCAAGGCAGGCCACTGAACCGCTGAGCTAAATCCCCAGCCCCTGCTGCTTCTTGATTTAAGTATCACATCTCATTACTTTTAAGATATGGATTTTCCCACATTCGAAGATTTCTGAAATGGCGGTGCATTATT